AATAAAATATAAATAAACACCAAGTAAATGACAGGGCAAGAAATTATTTTTAAATGTCACAAAATGGCACCATTTACACACACACCCCATACCCACATGAAAGAAATGAAGAAAAGATTTTTGCCTTAAATATTAAAATGATTTAAGTCAAGGATTTGCCGCATACAAATATTTGCTCAAGACCCACAAATAACAAAAAGTATCAATTTGTTTACCAGATACTGAGTACATACCATATAATAGGTTCTGGACTAGATGCTGAGACACACAAGTGAACAAGACAAAGTTCTCACCCCAACCCCACCAGGGGGTCTAGGAGAAGATACGAATATAAAACACATAATTATTCAAATAAACATATGTTAAGTGCTTCTAGGGATGCTATGAGAGTATAACAAGGGAACCTAATTTATAACTGCTTATGGTCAAAGAAGGTATTTCTGAGGAAATGGCATTTGGGCTGAAGCCTGAAGGGTTAACAGAATTATCATGGCTAAAATACGAAGAAGATCACTGTAAGCAAAAAGAAAAGGCCAGCTTGACCACAAAGTAGTGATCACAAGATAAAATGTCAAGAAATGAGGTTAAGAGGCAGACAGAGGGCCAAGTCATGAAGGCCACTCATTTAACAGATATTAACGTTACTATGTTCTAGGCAATATTCTAGGGACTGGGACAAAGTAATGAACAAAGATCCTACTTTCATACAATCTACTTTCTAGAGGGAAGACAGATAAACATATGTTGGGAAGGGTGTTTTTTTTTTTAATTGGGAAGGGTGTTTTTTAAGGAAAAAATAAAGCAAAGAGGGAGTGATTGAGGGTAGTACTATTTTTAGTAAGAGTGGTCAAGAAAGGACTCTCTGATAAAGCCTCATTTTAGTAGACATGCCAATGAATGGAGGGATCAAACCATGGAAATTTTGAGGGAAGAACATTCTCAACAGAAAGAGCAGCAAGCACAAATGCCCTGAGAAGGCAGCATCAGTCACTGTTGCAGGAACAGCTAAGGTCCCAGTGTAGCTAGAAAGAATGTTAACAAGAGGAGTGTAGGTGATTAGATGGGAGGGGAGCAGATCATGTAGGGCCTTATAGGGCAAGAGAAGGGCTTTGAACTGTCTTGGTTTTGTTTTGTTTTTTTGTTTTTAAAGATTTTATTTATTTGACAGAGAGAGACACAGCAAGAGAGGGAACACAAGCAGAGGGGGTGGAAGAGGGAGAAGCAGGCCTCCCACCAAGCAGGGAGCCCGATACGGGGCTCGATCCCAGGACCCTGGGATCATGACCTGAGCCGAAGGCACATGCTTAATGACTGAGCCATCCAGGCGCCCCTTGGTTTTGTTTTAATTTATCTGAGAGAGAAAGAGCGGGCAAGGGGCAGGGGGAGATGGGGTGGGGAGCAGAAGGAGAGAGAGAAAGAAACCCAAGCAGACTCCAGGCTGAGCATGGAGCCCAACACAGGGTTCAGTTTCATGACCCTGAGAGCATGACCTGAACCAAAAACAAGAGTCCAACGCTTAATGGACTGCACCACCCAGGAGCCCCTAAACTGTCTTAATATGGGAAGCAACTGGATTTTGAACAGAGAGAAATAACTTCATCTTTTGTTTTAAAAGATCACTATGGCTGCTGAATGAAGAACAGACTGCAGGGGGAAAAGGGTAGAAGAAGAGAGACCCAGGAAGAGGCTACTGTTACAATCCATGTGAACAGAGATGATGAGGGCCTGGACTAATGAGTAGTGGTCAGATTCTGGTTACACCCTATAGGAAAAGCTACAAGGATATGCTGATGAGGGAATGGATATGGTTTAAGAGCAAAGGGTCTAGGATGAGTCCAGCATTTTTAACCTAACTAAAGGGAAAAAAGAAGGCACTATTTACCAAGACAGGGAAGACTGGGAAGGAAGTTCAGGGAAGAAAATAAATACCAGAAATACACATATTTAAAGCAAAATTAAACCTGAAAGATATCTGTGAATTAGAAAACCTCATTTAAACAGAATAATTAAGGCCATTAAGTTAAAGCAGAGAAAAACAATTCATGTTCACTCTAAGAGATATTAAGTACCTTTTCAGCAGCTTCAACAGTCTTTTGTGTTTTCTTAGCAGCATACCTCTTGTGATCATAGTATCTAGAAAAATATATTTCTCTTAATTTTAAGTCAAATCTTTATTCTTTAGCTTTCTATTTATGTTTTATCTAATTTTAGATTCTTAAATCATACAGAACAAGTTTTGTGCATTATGCAACTTTGTTTTATATGTTCTCTATGAAAACAAAGTTGTATAATGCACAAAATGAGATTTAAAAAAGTGTTTTCACCCAAAAGCACACACATACATAATATATATATACATATATTATCCTTAATATCCTAACTGATTTATTGCAGATATTTTACCTACAATTCATACTTAAATTTAACACTTACTTTTTGGCATTGGCATATGCTGACAAGCTGAGATCAACATCAACAAGTAACGGCCTATTTTTCTGAGGCTTCTGCAGCTGTTTATTCTTTTGTTTTTTCTTTTTTCCTTTTGGTGGTTCGGTTTCATTTTTTTCAACACTGATGTCACCATCAACATCGTCATCTTCCTCCTCTGATAACAAGTATGGATTTCTATTAAAAATATTCAATAGTATTTCACTAATGTCAATGACATCACTTTTTTTTCAATTTTTTTCCTCAACAACATTATAGACTGTTTACAATATTTAAATAGGTGCATTTTGGGGGGGCACCTGGGTGGCACAGTCGGTTAAGTGTCTAACTCTTGGTTTTGCCTCAGGTTGTAATCTCAGGGTCATGAGATTGAGCCCCATGAGGGGCTCCAAGCTCAGCGTGGAGGCTGCTTCAGAGTCTCTCTCCTTCTCCCCCCATCCCATGGGCACTCATGCGCACGCTGGCACTCTCTCGCTCTCTAAATAAAATCTTTTAAAAAAAATTAAATAGCTGCATTATCTTAATGTAAATTGTTTTTTCCTGTATCTTTGAGGATAAATTTCCAAATAAAAGAGAAAAAATTTTAAATGAATACAGTGAACAATTAAACAGCAAAATAAAAACAATCATGAACAGCTTAACTAAGAATCAAACTTACCTTAGTAGCATTGTAACATGATTTGTTTGTAGTTTTAATTCTTTAATTGCATTTGCAACAGGGTCTCCTTGAGCTTGGGCTTCTTTCACAATTAACCCGATTTCCGTCCAATCTATCTGGTTGGCTAAAGCACTTCGAACAACCTGAATGGCTCTGTCAACTATTTGTAGGTTCATTTCTATGAGCTCTCCTTTAAGTTTGTCTATTTCCTTAAGAAATAAACAAAAATGTTTACTATAATGCCAGTTAAAGTTACCATCTTTTCAGTTTTTATTTTAATTCCACTTAGTTAACACACAGTGTTACATTTAAAGTTACCATTTTTGAAATCTGAAAAAGCTAAACATAATACCTGAGCCTGTTGAAGAGCTTCTAATCGGTTTTCATGATCCTTTCGGACGTTATCTAATTTCTTCAATGCTTGTTTTTCCTTTTGTAGACAAAACAGATTTTTAAAAACTTTGATTTCTCATGCCTCTTACACTTTTTCTCTTTCGTCCTGAAACTCACTATCCCACCTCCACTTCAGCCCCCTCAATGTTGTCACCTTGCTAGCTAAGGTTCCCATACTCCACCTCTCAGGTCTATCCTACCCCAAAGTGCTTCATGCTCTCAAACTACCTCTCCCAACTACCTACCTCCCATTCCCTATATAGGAAGGTATTTTGATTATAGGTTATATTGTATGTAATATGTGCCCCTAATGCCCTTGCATTATTCAAGAAGGCATAATTCAAGACACTGTCTTCCTATCACATAAAAGTAATGTTTTGGGGAAATGCATTCTTAACGAACATAAATTACCAAAATAGCTTCTTTTTATTTTATTGCTGCTTTTAATTTTCTCATCATCATTTCTACAGAGTACTCTTTTTCCTAAATTAATGCCACAAAGGCTCATGGTAGTTAATTTACCTTCTATAAAGCATTTTATCATGTATCATTTACCTTTCAAGGTTATTGATTTGGAACAAATTTTCTAACACTAGTAATAGCATCACTAATTAACGAATGTTTGAATGCTGGATGTAATGTTTAAAAAATCTGAATTATAAGAATGGTGGCTATAAATAAAATCTTAAAAGATTTTTAATAAAAGGGGACGCCTGGGTGGCTCGGTCGGTTAAGTATCTGCCTTCGGCTCAGGTCATGATATCAGGGTCCTGGGATCGAGTTCCGCATTGGGCCCCTTCTCAGCAGGGAGTTTGCTTCTCCCTCTCCCTCTGCCCCTCCCCCTGCTTATGCTCTCATGCTCTCTCTGATAAATAAAATCTTAAAATTAAAAAAAAAAAAGAACAGGGGCGCCTGTGTGGCTCAGTTGTTAAGCGTCTGCCTTCGGCTCAGGTCATGATCCCGGGGTCCTGGGATCGAGCCCCGCATCGGGCTCCCTGCTCAGCGGGAAGC